TAGGGGCAGGGGGGCCCTGCTCCGTATCTCCCCTGGGGTACTGGTGCCCTCCCTGGTACTCTGCTAGACTTGCTTGGGGGTGGCGTCTCTTTAGCTCATGGGTGGGCTCATTCTTGTGGCAGAGGTGCCAGGAGGGCCTGAGGGGGGTGGGCGCCAGTGGTAGGGGCACCCCTTTTTCCAGTGGGACCTGCAGATGCCCTCTCTGCCTGGCCCCTGGAGCACTCATGATGCAGGTGCCCCAGGGCACAGCACCAGAAGCACCACAGGTCCCCCTGTGTATAGAAAATCCTCATGAGGGCCCCCTGATAAGGAATTGCCATACTGCTCTCTCTCAGGAGAGAGGAACATTACATGCTGCACCACCTGACACCACACCTGCACTGAATTACTTCCTAATTGACTGACTGCTCCTGTCCTCCCCCACAGCTACCTCACTGCAGCTGATCCTGAGTGACTGGCTGGAGGCCTGAAGGGCTTCTGGACAGATCTTCCACAAACAAAGCCCCTCCACTGCTCCAGCCATCTTTTACACCTGCCTCAGAAGCCTTCCCTGTGTGTTTTTTGCCTTTGTCTTGTAAGTCCTGTGGTCCAGTCCCCCTGACCTGGTGTTTGTTGTGTGGCTGAGTAAGCCAGCTCGAGTTTCCCCAGCCCTTGTGTATGTGTTTTCTCCCCCCCACATTCTCAAAGCATAGGCCTCCCGATTTTTTTTTACTGTGGGGCTGTGGCTCAGTGAGCTTCAGCCTCCTTCCTCCTTATCCCCCTTCTGCCCCACAACCCCAGCCTATCCCTTCTAGATTCACCAGGCCCACGGGATATTTTGTTTTTCTTTATTGTCTTCCCTGCCTTCATGTGAAACAATGGCAGGGCAGGAACCTTCTGGGGTGGCAGATGCCCCCACAGAGCTTTCTGCAGCCCCCACTATGGATGTGGATCTGAGCCAAGCCCGCAAGGGGATGCATGCCCCTGCAGCCTCCACCCTGGAGACAGAATCCAACCACCCTTCTCTTGGGATGGAGAAGCCTGCAACCTCTGCTGCAGGGGCAGGTGGGACTCTGGTAGGGAGCCAACAGGACCAGGGGATCTCCCCTGGCCAGCCTTCCCCTCCCCCCAGAGGGGTTCCCGACTTCCCTCTCCCATCATTGGTGACCAAGGGCAAGGGCAGTGGGAAGGGCTCCTCTTCAGCTTCCTCCACAGCTGGGGGTGGCAAGGGCAAGGGCCCTACCCTGAAACTTAAACCACCAGTGTCTGAGGGGACCAGGTGCACTACACCAGCCAGCAAATGCATTCAGTTTGTCCCTGTCCCTAGGTCAGGCCCCACCAACATGGCCCTTGGTGGGGGGGGAACTGTAGCTATGCACAGGTGGCTGTGGGGAGACCCAAAGCCAGGGGGCTTGGAGCCTCCACCACTGGCCCTTCCAGATCAAACAGTGGGTGCCCCTTTCTCACTCACCTGCAGGCATGGGGTGAAAGGCCAACTACCCAAGTGAGAGAACCTGCACTTTGAGACCTGAGTGCAGGCCCTGGCTTAGGTAGTGAGGGCCTCCCAAGATCATGGTGGCCTCCTATTTTCATGGCAAGGGGATTTTTTCCCTTGCCTTGGAGGCCGCTGCACAAAAGGTGGTGGAGAGGGAGCTCGTGGTGGAGGGCGAGTACGTCCCCCTTGAGGTTCTAGAAGAGCTGGAGACCAGGGTGGTCCTCAGCGATGTCTCTCCCTATATCTCCAATTGGGACCTGCTCCCCCAGCTCCAAACCCTGGGGAGAGTTATCTCCCCGGTGGTGGCCCTCTCACTGGGGTGCCAAGACCCTGGCCTCTGCCATTTGCGCTCTTTCTGTCACCAGGTCATGATCCAGCTGGCGGCGGGAGCACAGCTGGAGGCTGAGGAGGGGCAGCAACAGCACCAGCAGCAGCCAAGGCAGGAAGGGGTGCAGCCAGTTTTCTCCAAAAGCTCTGAGACCAAGCCAGCAGCTAATAGTAGCCAGAGGCAGGAAAGGGCCTGGCCATCTTCTCCCCTAAAACTCCTGAGAACAAACTTGCAGCAACCAGCCACAGCAGCAGTCCCTGGGACAGGAAGGGGCATGGCCAACTTCATCCCAGAGGCTCCTCCCCCAGAAGCTCCTGAGGGCAAGTATCTTTGAGCTGCTGGCCAGGGTAGGTTTTTATATGGCTGCAGATCCAGTAGGAGCCAGGCAGTGTTATTTTCTCCAAGTGGCACAATTTGCTCTACAAGAAAGTGCATGTCCGGGTACACATGCTGAGGCAAAGAGCCCCGGCTCAAATTTGCACCCTTTCTATTTAAGCTGCTACAGGCGCACATGTTTGCATGTGTGGACACGCCCCAGAAGTCCTTCTTCAGATACAAACCTGAATGCAAATGTGCTTGCAGGTATACATGTTTAGACATCTACTAATGCTGCCTATACCTTTTAAACTTCCTCCTTCCTGCCTTCACAAAGGAGCTGGAATCCTGAGCCAGGGTTAGCATGCAGTTGCATATTTGGAAACCTGAGCCCTAATGCTATTGTAATTAGGGACCTACTGAATTTGGAATTGTGCAGTTCTCACAGAAAATGCAAAACTGGGTGGGCTTTGTGAAAAACAGTGGGCTTGCTGCAACCCCCCCCTAAAAAACAAAAAAACCAAAACACATAAAATTTAATGTCAAGCACAAAAAAAAGGTGGGAAGTCCTGCAGTCTTGGACCACAGGGGGAAGAGGGAACTCCTTTTTAAAATGTAAAGCGGGACACATGCTCGTCTCCCCTCCTGTCCTGCCTCTGCCGGCAGCACAGCTGGAACAGAGCCAAGTGAAATAGGGGCAGATGTGGGCTGCCCACTGCAGGCATGGGGCTCCTTGCCCTGCTGCCTTTCCCCTGGGAGCCCCACGCCAGTTGCATACCCCTGCCTATCCAGTAGCAGTGAGGGGCACAGCTCCATGCCACCCCTGCTGCTGCTGGGCAGGCAAGGGGTGAGTCTCCATGGTGGTGTGGGGCACCCAGGAAAAGGGCAGCAGTATGCCCCCTAGACAAGCCACCCATGGCCCTGTCCCACTCCTGGCTCCAGCTCCCAGGCTCTGTGCACCATCCTGGCTGGGCAAGCCCCCAGCCTGTGCCTCACTCCCTCCCTCACCATGCAGGCTGCAACCTGCCCCCCCACCCTCCACCCCCAACTTTTCCCACCTTCCTCCTAGAGTGACCAGCCATCCCTAATTGGATGGGAAAGTCCCAGAATAGGAGCCTCAAGTCCTATTTTCATGGAGGCTTGCAGCAGGGGGCAGGGAAGCTGCAGGCAGCTTGCATTGGCATCCTGGGACATCTCTGGCAGGCAACCAAAAGGCTGAACCTAGGTTTGCAGAGCCCCAGCCTGGTTCACTGTGCACATGCACCTGCTGCTGACAAGGAGCCAGGCCAGGGCTCCACAGACCCTACTGCAGTCTCTCAGCTGCCTGCCACAGCTAGCCCAGGATCCCAGTGCAGCCTCCCTGCCTGGGGATGGCCCAAAACTTAATTACACTGATTAAACCAAGGGAAGCCATTAATCCATACTGAATAATGCATGAGTGAATGACTTTCCTGGGATTAATCAGGGTAATTAAACCTCAATTTTGGACCATCTGGTAATCTGCAGGGCAGGGTGGGATTCCCCAGGTCCCTTGGCCAACCAGAGTTGTGTGGGGAGGCAACCATGCTTAGCCCATAAAAGTGGTGGCCTGCCCCAGGATTTGTCTGTGAAACTGGCCAGTCACCTCCTTGAGTTCAGTATAGATTATAAATCTATTATTTTGTGTGTGTAAATGATAGTGTTCCAGTCACATAACCATGACTAGAGATGTTAGAAACTAGCTCCTGTTTCAGCCACTGTAGCTGAGTGCTTAGGCCAAGGGTGCTGAACATCCAGTCTGTGGGCCAGATCCAGCGCTGCCCTTCCCTCCTCCATCCCCCCTCCAGTGCTATGTCATGCAGCTAACAGGGCTTTCCACAGGTCTGTGATGCACCCTACAGGGTATAGCTTTGTGATAGGGTGTCAGCATGGCATGATGGTCCTGGGCCTGATCCTGGCATGGAGAGCTGGATGAAGGTGGTGCAGGGCCCTGGGGCCCAATCCTGGCACACGGGTGGTACAGGATCAGTTCTGGTGTGCAACAGCCAACTGATGCCATGCAGGACCCAGTGCAGGTGTCTGGATCTAGCCTACAGGGTCTGATCCTACCTGGGGACCAGCCCTGTGCCACTCATCTAGCCCGCTGGGTCAAAAGTTTGAGCACCAATTGTTTAGGCTACTTGTTCAAGAAATAGATCTGGTTTCTACATCCCCCTGTCACCCACAGGGGATTTAAATATGTATGTCTGACTTCTCAGCACAGTATTCTAACCACCAGGTAGCAGGCTATGCATTAGCCAGGCCCCTCTCCAGTACTCCTTTGGAAGCTGGTCCCCTGCACCACCAAGAGAGGGAGATGTATTTGGCCAGGAAGAAGCAAGTAAGTTTGACTGTTCTACTGTTCCCTGTAGAAGCCTGTGTTCTAGCCAGAGGCCAGACCCCCAGTGAGGAAAAAACGTCCCTGCTACACTCCATCCATTTTACTTGATGAGTGCTAAATGCAAGGTGCAATGGCACTGCTAAAAAAAAAGCATGGAGAAGGAACTGAATAATGACTAACTAGTGGCATGATGCTTTAGGCACTATTTTAGAAAGTGAAAGTAAAGCAGTGATATACCAGCTGTGTTTTAGAATTCACAGACCCAATCTGCGATTATTGCTGCTTATACAAATGATCACAGGGAGGGTTCTAAACAGAACTCCTCCTCTCTACAAGTTAACATACCTTTTTATAGCTCAAACTGTGAAAACAAACACATGATTAAAACAAAGCAACCTTGAGTGTCAAGGAAAAGGTAGATTATTCGGTTACACATAACAGTTGCTTGCTCAGCAACACATTTTGTTTTGAGAACTGTTATCACTTTGTTGATTTTAGGAAAGAAACATTTGTTTCCAAAGAACTTTAAAAGACATAATAAAGCAGAAGGGTTTTTCTTATCTTAGAATATTCTTAAACATACAGCATCAGCATCTTTTTCAATTTCTTTTCTTCACTCTCTTTTCTTTAGTCAAGTTGGAGGCCTGGATAAATTTATTTCAACATTCCCCACTTTTGGGCCTCTTAGGCTCAACATACTAGATATTTATAGCCATTAATCTTTTGCCTTCTAACTCCTCTTCTTCTTTAACATTAGCTATTTCAACATACATGTTATACACTTCTTTTCTTTGCATAGAGGTTGACAAGCTATCTTGCATTCAAAGGTACTGGTATTATAGGTATCCCTCCAGTGGAATGGAGAGGGACATGGCTACATATCCAGCAATGAGAAATATTTAAATCTATTGCATATTGGTACAATACTTGAAGAAAAACTTTTTTATGAACCTGCCAGGGAGGGAGTTAACCTGTTTTGAAGCATAGTCTGATTTATAAAGTTCTTTTTATCTGGTGGGTCTTTAAGTTCATATAAGGTGATCCAACTGGAAAAAACTGAGAATCACCCAAGTCATGACTAACCAACCCCACTTTGGGAACCAGGAACTAGGTAGAGGCCTTTTTCCTGTCCCGAAGAGCATAGTGGAGTCGCTGGGGCACATCCTCTTCTCTCTGTAGTGGGAAATCCTCTTCGCCAGTATGTGCTTGTGCTCTCCTGCTGGCAGGCGCTAGGCTCACTACCAGTCTGTGAAGGCTGATTACAAAATTGAAAAGGAGGAGACTCTGGGTCTAACGGGGCTGATGTTTTCTTACTGTGTGAAGCATGAATCCACGTGGGGAGTCCTTGACACTTTATTGCAGTGTTGGTGGTTAAAAGTACCTGGAATTGGCCTTTCCAGGGAGGTTCCAGTGATGATTTTCGTTGATGGACTTTTATATGGACCCAGTCTCCAGGCAGGCTAGAATGGCACAGCTCATCAGGTTCTTTGGGGAGAGCTGCGTGTATCTGTGAATGAACATTCTTAACACATTTCATTAGTGCCTTAGAATAGTCCAGAATAGTATCATCAAGTAAATGTGTATCACAAAGGTGGGAGGTAACAGGTGGTGAGGCAGGGAGTCTCATGGGCCTTCCCATCAGGATTTCATGAGGGCAAAGCCCAGTCTTTCGGTTGGCAGTAGATCTCATACTCATTAGGGCTATGGGAAGCGCATCTGGCCATTTCAGGTGAGTCTCAGCACAAATTTTGGCCAGTTTATTTTTCAGAATGCCATTTTGACGTTCTGCTTGGCCTGAAGCCTGTGGATGGTATGGGCAATGAAAGTTTTGTTGAATCTGCAAGACTTTGCAGACTTCTTTCATTATTTGCCCAGTAAAATGAGTTCCTCTATCGGAGTTTAGGGATAAAGGAATACCAAACCTTGGAATAAAATCTCTGAGCAACCTTATGCTTACAGTGGTATTGTCGGCCTTTGCACATGGGTAGACTTCTACCCATCCA